AAAATAAGAACCAAGATGCATCATGTAAAGGTACAATTCCCAATGAGAAATGTAATTGTGTTGTGCACCTACAATGTACCAATAAAAGAATTTAATAAAGTGCAAAAAAAAAATAGAGTCCACTTTGACACATCTTCTGATTTCTCAAAAGAAACCACACCCTCCACAAATGGTTCAAATAATATGATGACCTAACACCTTCCATCTGCAGGCCCTACCTGGCCCAGCACCATACGTGCTCAATCTCTACCTTAAACCTTAACCACACGGGATCATCACTAATCAAAATGCCTGCTCTTTTTGAAGAAATGGGCGTCTCTTAGGGGTCTGTGCCAGCGTGGACAACTGCCGATTGTTTATCGGGGGAATCCCAAAAACTAAGAAGAGAGAAGAAATCTTATCAGAGGTGAAAAAGGTCACAGAAGGAGTTGTCGATGTCATCGTCTACCCAAGTGCTGCAGATAAAACCAAAAACCGGGGCTTTGCCTTTGTGGAGTATGAGAGCCACCGTGCGGCTGCCATGGCCCGGAGGAAACTGCTACCAGGTGAGCAGCCCCAGGCAGAGCCCAACCCTCCTCCCCAACCACTGTGGTCCAGCAAGGAAAGAGAGGGATACTAGGTTTGATTTGTGTTTTGTAGATAGATAGATAGATAGATAGATAGATAGATAGATAGATAGATAGCGATAGGGAGATAGGTAGTATTTTAAACTCTTCCTCTTCCTTATTTATCTCACTGTTGATTCAGTTCCCTGAATTTTTCAGACTGTGTTTAGAAATTTTCAGACTGTGTTTAGAAATATTTGTTCTGTGCATTGGGTTTAATTTATATGCACTGGAGAAATCCAGACCTTTCAACTATTAAAATCCTATAATGAGATTTTATGAACAAAACCTCAGTTGCCCGTGAACTAGCACAAACAGTCAACAAGTGGGATCTCTTCTTATTAAAACCTTCTGCACAGTAAGAGAAACCACCAGCAGTGTGAAGAGACAACCTACAATGTGGGAAAAAATTTTCACCTGCTGTTCCTCAGAAAAAGGTCTACTATCTAGAATATATGAAGAACTTTAAAAAATCAGATCTCCCAAATTTAAAGACCCAATCCAAAAATGGGCATCTGAAATGAGCAGACATTTCTCAAAGAAGTAGAAATAGCAAATAACCATATGAAAAAAGGTTTAACATCACTGGTCATTCGATCCAAATGAAAACAATGCTGAGATTCCACCTCACCCCAGAAAGAATGGTTGCTATTATTTAATCAACTAATAACAAATGCTGGAGAGGCTGTGGGGAAAGAGAAACACTACACCACTGCTGGTGGGAGTGTAGACTGATGCAACCACTGTGGAAATCAGTATGGAGATAACCTCAAAGAACTAGGTCTGGAAGTCTCATTTGGCCCAGCTATTCCCCTGCTGGGTATCTTCCCCAAAGAATTAAAAGAATTATACCACAGTGATATATGTTCACCCATGTTCATATCAGCACAATTTGTAATAGCTAAAGCTTGGAAACAGCCCAACTGCTCATCAACTGGAGACTG